CCCCCCCCCCCCATTCGTGTAGCCCACCATCTAATATTGATCTTTTTTGTCAATTAGACTAGTCCACGTTACAAAAATAACGGTTTAGTACACATATAAACATGTGTAACGTTAGAAGAGCTAGTGATACCGTGAGACCAGCAAAGAATATCGATTTTTTTTTAGCCTGACAATAATCATCAGGTTGATCATCACTCATGAATTATTATTTATGAATTATTTAACTCATTTGGAGCGGTTGCATGAGCATAAAAAAATGTGTTTTATGAATAGCTTTTTGCATTGGTGTTGAATTATCCGATGAAATCCATGGGATTCGAGGTAAATGATCACCTGAGGAACAGGAAGTGTTTTGCTTGATATGACCAACATGTTCAAGTGATTTTTAAAGTGATTATTAAACGAGTGATCCCTTTTGATTTTTTTTCCCTGAGGCATTAATTCAGGAATATTAATGACCATTTTTTTTCATTCAATTTGATCCACAGGGACTGGATCTTACGGTGGTCATGGTAGCACGAGGAGATCCAGAATGGAGAGAGTTGATCGTAGTGAACGTGAAAGAGAACGCGAGAGGGAGAGGGAAAGGGAGAGAGAACGAGAAAGAGAACGCGAACGTGATCATGATTATGGAACTGAGGAGGATTCATACTTAGGTGGTAGTGTGGATTACGGTAGCGTATCGAGACGACGACAGCAGCAAGACTCGAGGGCACTCAATGCCATTTAGGAGCTGGAGCCCCGGGGCTTATCGCTACAGCGGTGTCCCCACCTTAAAACTACCGCCCTATAGTTTTTAATGATAATGAAGTTATTTCATTAAAGTGCGCAATTTGCCTTCCCTTAATTTATTCGTCAAAAAAAAGTGCAATGAAAATGATGAAACAATGTTGAAACAAAACAGTTAAATTATTAAAAAAACAAACCCAAAAATCACGTAATCTTTTCATTAAATTGTAAATGAAGTATAATAGCACTTTTTAAACTCCGGACTATTTTTATCGTATTTTCATTTACGTCCGGGGATTGTCATTGTTATTGGACTCACTGGATTGAGTAGTGAGACTATTTATTGATTATTAGGATAATGATACTTTTCTTCTATCCGAAGATCGACCAAACACAATTGAATTATGAATTGGTTTATGTTGTTGGGTTCATCATGCGCGGAGAGGGGGGGGGGGGAGAATTATTTTTGGAATTAGAACAGATTCTTCTATGACAACTGTTGCAGAAAAGGGGGATATTATGGGATAGATTTAACTGGCTTCTCTTACTGATGAGTGGAGGAGGAGAATTAAGGGGACTGTGGGAGTCGACTCAAATGATCGGGGAAATCGGTCAACAAATATTTTCATTGGAATTTTATTTTGTTGATTTATTTTGTTATCGTTTTTTTTAAATTAATGTAAATTTACGAAATTTTCTGGGGGTATATCTTGATAGTAAAAAAACCCCCGGGGCGATGGTTATTTGTATCGAGTTGAAAATAATTCAGGGCTATCAAGGCGACGAAAAGATCGATGCCACCAACGCTGACACACATCTCTCATTTGAACTCTCGTGTCTTTCGTCGATTGTGACCGACCAATTGCAACTTAATGTTTCTTATTTATCCATTAGTAATTGTAATAGAATAATGAGTGAGGAGAAAATTTAAATGGAACAAATAGTGAGAGTACCCACGGATCCTTTGGGTCGAAGTTAAAAATATTCATGAATTAAATCAGTTGCTCGATTATTGATAATTGTTGATGAAGAAATTTGAACAAATGAAAATTATTGAAAAAATTGTACTGAGTAATGTAACCGGCGAGCGACAATTTTACTGTTTAGAATTTATGAGAACAGAGAAAGTAACGGTGTTTCTCTTCGAATATTATTTCACTTTGTTTTTTCTTCTTTAAGTTTATTTTTTTTGTTCGTTTATTAGAGGTGCAATGTAGATGTAAAGGGAAGGAGAAAACAGAAGGAACAAGTATATAAATAGATAAGAAAGTATGTTTTTGGGCCGGAATTGGTGTCTTCTGGCGTTTGTTGACTTTATTCCAAAGAAAAGTCGATGGTTTCAGATAAAATCCAATATACTCGACTTATTGTTCCACATTGAGTGAGAGAGTTATGAAAAAAAAATCAAACATCCGATTATTGCGAGTGTATAAATTAAAAAAAATACGTTTTTACGTGCGTCCGAGCGTGCGCTATATATATATATATATATATATATATATATATATATATATATATGTATACTTAAAAACAGAGCAATATGTATATGTATATATATAACTTGATTGCAGCATTGAGGCGAATCGTGTTAATTGGGGTAAAACGAAATTTGAAAAAAGAATTTTTACCGCGTGTTGTGTAGCCAATGAATATAAATGATCATCGACCAGCTAGAGGACAATTCACTGTAGCAAATTCATTTGTTTTCTCCAATTTTTATTCAGTCAAATGAAAAAGAAAAACTAAAAAATACGCACACGCTACTTCGTGTAAATAGTAAACAAAATGAGGGGGGGG